TGCTAGATTTAGTGGAGAGAAATGGTGCGCCTGATGTAAGACATGTAAGGGAGATGAATGCAACACGATTATAGGGGCCAGTCATTAGCGAACGTTGTTATTAATAATTATGTATAACAGGATATTGTAAAAATTAAGTTATGAAATTTTTATTAAAGCGTTTCTTACACAGCATTATATTGGCTGGGCTGAAAAGATATTTGTTGTGGGCCGCAAGTTTGACATGCTTGATTTACAATGCCATGAAATGGGGGGACTTAAGCCCATCTTATTCTAAACCTAACATTTCCCTGGGTGAATGGGGTTAATAAGTCTCTACTCCTAGAGTTGCCTTTAGGAGTAAATGAGAAATAATGCCAGAAAAGCACTTAACATGATGCTTGGCAAAAATAAGAAATAAGTGTTTGTTTTGTTTTTATTGACTTTTTGGTGATAAAGATTTATTCAAGTATGTAATAAAAAATGTGAGATCTTGGAAGTACCTTAGAATGAACTTGTGATTTCCTAATAAGCATCCATTGCTGTTTAAGTCAACGTTTTGTGTTTATGTGCCGTTGTTAGAAACTGTTTAGTTATATTTTTCTGCCTTGCAGAACATTTTTTAGCCCTAGCTATACTGAGCAAGACTGTATTTTTGCTAACAATTGGGGTAGGTGGAACCTTCTAGCTTATTCTTCTATAGGAAATGGGCTAGTGGTTCTCTGCAGCCTGGCTCTTGTTCAGTCTTTACCTTTCAGGCACTCATGCATACCTGTGCTGATTGACACAGTGACCAGGTATGTCTGTGTTTCTGACATGTTTACTTATTAAATATTAGATCCCCAAGACGACATAGATCCACATCTCCTTCTCCTTCTCGACTGAAAGAAAGAAGAGATGATGAAAAGAAAGAAACAAAGAGCAAAGAACGTCAGATAACTGGTAATGTTATTAGAAAATAACTGTAGGAAGAGTGCAGCCTTGTTTAGATAACTTCAGGCATGATAACATTATAAAAGTATAATTTTTAACTATTAAGATATATTAAGTTTATAGTATTCATTGCGTATGAATTGAGATTTTGTTTTAATTGTCCCTTTGAGTTCCTGGTTTCTGTGGTGCTCCTGATATTGGGAGGACAATTAAAAATGTGAGCATATTTTATTTTGGAAGTACCTTCAAAACAAGTGTCATGTTGATATGAAAGGGGTCCTGCCTAAAGGCTTCAGCATGTCCTTTTAAGCAGTTTCTTCTGTTGGAAGGTGCAGAGCACATTCCTTCCGTGCACCTCAAGTTACAGTGTGCTTGCACAATTCACCATAGCTTAGATTTGGAAACAGCCTAAGTGCCCATCAGCAGATGAGTGGATTAGAAACCTGTGGTACTTCTACACAATGGAATACTATGCTGCGGTAAAAAAGAA